CAAGTTTCTTAAGTCTTGCATTAAGTGTCTTGTTCTGAAATTTATTCCTCTGGAAGAAAAGATGAGAATTCGTTCCTTATTCTTCCACTTGCCCTATAAAAAGAAAGGAGAATATTATGATTATTAAAACTCACAATGAAATTTCTTTTTAAGAGTTGACAAAGCTATCTCGTTTTTTTAGATATCCTACCATTCTCTGACATTATCAAGATGACCAACAGCTGCTGTTCAGTAGTTCGCAACTCACAGTGACCCTACACACAATAGCTCTATCCTGAGCTAATTGCACTGTCTGACACACCTCATTACCCCAGTTATTATTTCAATCTGTCTCAACCGAGTCTTCCTCTACTGCGCTGTCCCTCAACCCTTCTAAAAATGTCTTCAAAGACTGGCCCCTCCTGGCTATATGACAAAAGTATGTGAGATGAAGTCTCAAAATTCTTGTCTTCAAGGAGCAGCTTGGTTTCACCCTCTCCTGGGTAGAACTGTTAGTTCTCTTGACAGTCCATGTTATGTTCAAAACTTATCTCTAGTACCACAATTCAAAAGCATTGATTCTTCTTCTGTCATTCTTGGTCACTGTCCAGCTCTCTGATGCATAGCAAGTAACTGTGAAGACCATGGCCTGGATCAGGCACACCTTAGTCTCTAGACTGACAACATTGCTTCTCAGTACTCTGGAGAGGTCCCTGAACACAGAATTTCCCAGTTCAAGTAATCTTTTCATTTTCTGATGGCTGGTGCCCCATGTTGATTGTGGAGCCAACAAAGCTGAAATTGTTAACAATGTCAAATCTCTTCTCTATCTATCTTTCACAGTGCTGCCAATTGGTCCAGCGGTGAGAATTTTTGTCTTCTTGATGTTGAGCTTCAATTTATATTGAAGACTACAGTCCTTGACCTTCTGTATCAAGTGCTTCAGGTCCTCCTCAGTTTTAGAAAGCAAGGTTGTGTCATCGGCATAATGTAGGTTATTAATGAGTCAATCCTAAAGCCACATTCCTCCTCATAAAGTCCAGCCTCCAGAATGATCTGTTCTTCATATAGATTGAAAGAATTTGGAGACAGGATGCATCCCTGACACACTCTTCCTGATTTTAAACCATGCAGTGTTTTCTTCCTCTGTCCTGAGGAGTTCTTAATTCTGGTTTGAGTATAGGTTTCACATGAGGACAGTCAAATGTTCTGGGATTCCCAGTCTTCTCAAGATTAGCCACAATTTGTTGTGATCTACATAGTCAAATGCCTTTGCATAGTCAATGAAACACAGACATTTCTTTGTACTCTGCTTTCTGCCAAGATCCATCTGACATTGGCAATGATGTCCTTAGTACCATGGCATCTTCTAAACCTAGCTTGTATTTCTGGTAGCTTTCTGTTGATGTACTGTTCCAGTTGCTTTTGGATAAAACAAAGCAGGATTTTGCTTGTGTGTGCTATTAACCGATAATTTCCATACTCTGTTGGATCACCTTTTTTTTTTTTGGAATGGGACACATTTATTCAGAAGAACCAGATAGTGCCCAGTTATGACTACTGACAGTTCTGAAAGAATTCACAATAGTATATTCTGGATAGACTAGAAAGAAAATGAGGAAAACTTAAAAAAAAAAAAAAAGACCTGGCTTATTGGTTTGATGGAACCCATTAAATTATGACTCCTACATATCACTATGAGTCGCAAGCGACTCGATGGCACATAACAACAACAACACATATTCTTCAGGTTTGGAACCAAACTAACCTCCATGACTTAGCTTTCAGCCAAGCATTAGACAGACCTGTAAACAGAACAGTAACAGCAGGGAGGTAAATATCTGTTGAACACTTCACCATATGTGATCAAAAGGGCAGTATCTGCGAAGAGAGAGGGCTAAGAAGACACAAGGGGAAAGGTGGCTGGCAGCATAGTGTGTCATGAGTTGGGCTGCTAAATCAAAGGCTCCTGTTCTGAAGGTGTTAGCTGCTTTGAGGGAAAAAATACACAGCCTCTTCCCATGAGAATAGCTGGGCTCAGAAACCCCGAGAGAGTCACTCAATTAAGAGGGAAATCGACTGGATAGCAGTGGCTCTGGAAATGGGAAACAGGGAGGAAGCGGTTGGGGTGCTGTTACACTCAGAGTGGTGTGATCGTCAAAGTGTGTAGACTGTTGAACAGAAAACCAACTTGCTATGTATACTCTTATCCAAACCACAACAAAAAAGAAATTTCTCTCTGACACTCAATGATACTTTGTGATTTACTTGTTTCTTTTCAATCTTTTTGTAACAGTGAACAGTTTGATAATCAGTGTAACCAAACTGTTTCTTTGACAGATACCGGGCTATTGCTAATAGAAGGGTCATGCAAATTGTTAGATTGACAATGTAAATCCACTCAAGAGGCGTGAGTGAGGATAAAAGCCAGTCTACTTCTGAAATAACAATCATTTAAAATCCTACAGATTTCCATTCTGACGCATACGCTCGGGGCCAAAAGTTGGCAAGATTTGCCAGCAACTGGTTTGCTGTTCTTGTATTCATAACATAAAGACATACGCACTAACAAGAAATAAGCTTAACTAAAAGTACCATCCCAAAAGAATAAAAAGAACTGGAGCTGAGTAAGCGCTTTTCCATGAGGCGGTAAGGAGCCCAAAGCCCACTCGAACCATCGGCGCGCTGGATTCCCGGATTCTCAAGCACAAGTACACCCACCTCGTCTCACCCAGAAGAGAGCAGAGAGCGAGTTCCCGTAAAATAAGGTGATTCTTAATTTAGCTAAGGCGGAGTTAGGTAAGCAGCCGACAGAAGACTCGAAGACCCGCTGATGCAGCTGCAACCCAAAGGCGTCTTTTACCTTGCAAACGGGGCCTGGGATACGGTCTCTATCTTCCTCCTTCCCCTCTTCGGCTGTGTCGTTAAGCTTAGCCGGTGGTCTGACATCTTCTTCGTCTCTTTTTGGTCTCTTGGTCTTGATAGCTAAGTCTCCACGACATTTCCTCTTGGTAGCTGCCATCTTGCCTCGCGCCACTCGCAATCTTCCTTCCGACTCAGCCACTCTGGCCTCTTTCCGATCTTTATGATACCGTCCGCTCCGCCCTCTGGTTTCCTCCAACTCTATGATCACTCCTTCCGGTCTCTATGGTTCTGGGGGCTCGGCTGCGCCGTGGGTTTCCCGTCGGCGGAGGCGGGAGATTTCCCTAGAGGGAGGGAGGGGCTTGACTGAACTGCTCCTCCGACTCTGCAGGCCACAGGTTTTACCTGCTCAGTGACCTGCTTACCAAGGGCACCCAGGAATTCAGTCCCCCCGCACTCAAGAGGTAGGCTTCCCGCGCCCCGCCATGCTTCCCCGCGGGCGGGCTGGTGAATCCGCTTCTCCGTGAGCATCTCCCGAGAAGTCGTGCACGCCCTCCTCCCTGTTCTTTTTAGAGGCCAGAACCCAGACCCGGTGAGGATAACGTAGTCAGCTTGGGGTGACGACTCAGACTGCCCCAAGTAGAACTACCGTGTCACTTGTCTAGTTGCATTCTTCACAACTTACTGTTAATTGCTGTCAAGTCGCCTGCGACTTACAGCGACCCTAAGCCCCAAACCCCGTTCTATCCTGTGCCAATCTTACTGTCTCTGATAAACCTACCCCCATTACACCAGTCACTGACTCAATCCATCTCATCAAAAGTCTCTTTCTCCTGCGCTGTCCTTCCACCATCCCAAGACCTTCCTTGCAACATGTCCCAAGTATGTCAGACGAAGATTTAGAATCCATGCTTCCAAGGAACAGCCTGGTCTTGCCCTCTCCAGGACGAACTTGTTTGTTCTAGCAGTCCATGGTATATTCAGTACTCTTCTCCAGCACCACAGTTCAAACACATAATTCTACTTCTATCATCCTAGTCATTGTCAGCCTAGCAAGTAATTGCAAAGAACATGGCCTGGGCCAGCTGCACCTTAGTCTCTAGGCTGACATCGTTGCTCTTCAGTACTTAGGTAGATGCTATTTCTGATCAATTGTTGGTAAGTGCCTTCGAGTTGCCTGTGATGTGTAGTGACCCTATGTACAGCAGTTCTGAAGCCTCTCCTGTCCTGAACCCTCTCACTGACTCAGACACACCTACACCATTGCCCCAGTTACTGTATCCATCTCATCTTGGGTCTTCCTCTCCTACGTTGTTCCTCCACCCTTACGAGTATGATGTCCTTACCAAATACAGTGGGCAGATGTTGCTGTGTACCATTGAGTTGGAACCCATAGCTGACCCTGGTGGGTTTTCAGAGATCCAATGGAGACTTGAAAAGACAAGGTGCTAAGAAGCATAGATCAATAGTAATTAATTTTATAAAGCAATAGGAATGATGGTATGAAACAATGATAGTGTAAAACAGTGTACATGACTAAGATATATATGTATATCTTTTATATGCAATCTTTTATATATGCATGTATATAACTTTTATATGCAATCCTATAAAAAATTTTAAAAGGACCCATACATAGAGAGGTGAGTAATTTTCCTTGAAGTTTGCAGATAGTTAACGGTGGAGTTGGTCTTCATACCTTCCTAAACCATTCAGCACCCAGGCCACTGCCATTCCGCCTCTCTGGTCTGGACCGAATGTTTTGTTTTCAAATCTCATCAGGTGTTTTTCAGTCCACAGGCACAAGTGTCGGCCCCTTCCTGGGTTACGTGTGTAGTGGACGATGCCACTCCTAACTCAGCAGATCCAAGCTGAGGATGAGCAGTACAGCTTGATGGCCAGCCTTGACAATGTGAGGAATCTCTCTACAATCTTGAAAGCCATTCATTTCCAAGATCATGCCACCTGTTTTGCTACCAAAAATGGGATCAAGGTTACGGTGGAGAAAGCAAAGTGCGTGCAAGCAAATGCTTTCATTCAGGTATGGGCATAGACACCTGCAAGCCTGGGACATAAGACATTTGTTACCCAGTTTCATGAATTCCAAAAGTCTTAGTGGAATTTACATTAGAAAATATCGTGAGCTCACAATTCTTTACACTTCTGGAAACAAATTCCTTTTCCATCTGACTTTGCTGCAATAATGGATTAAAATGACTAACATCTAGTAGATTACCAGGCAGACACCCTTTCTGAATGCTTTTATTTTTTTAGTTCATTTACTACTCCTCATAGTTGTCCTGTGAGGTAGGTGCTCTTAAACTGGAAGAGACTGAGAGACTTGCCTACATTCCCATAGTTGGCAAGTGGCTGAGTTGGTCTGAGACCCCAGAGCATTAACTCTAGGAGCCCCGGTTGTGCTGGGGGTAATGCATTCAGCTCCTTTGCCCACAGGTCACCAGTTTAAACCCACTAGACAGTCTGCAGGAAAAAAGATTAAGCCATCTGACTCTGTATAGACTTACAGTCCTGGAAGTTCTTTGGAGTGTTCTCTGTCCTATAGGACCACTGTGAGTTGAAGTCAATGGTAGGGCAGTGGATTTATTATTAAAAACAGTCCTTTTAGGAGATTTTCCCTTAATTGATTGAAACAAAATGCTCTGCTGTAGATTCTATTTCATGGTGACTCTACATTGGGTTTCTGAGGCTGCAAATGGGAGCAGACTGTCTTACCTCCATATCATGGAGCAACTAGTGATTTCAAATTGCAAACCTTATTGTTAGCCCAGCACTTAACCTACTATATTACTAGGTCTCCTTACAGATTGCAGTGCAATATGCACATGCATGCAGTGAGTTTCTGTCAGGTTGGAACCAACCCATTGCTGACCTTCCAGGGAGTTTTCAGGGTCAGTAAATTGCACAGGAGATTGCCCATATTTAGCCAGCAGAGCAGCTGGTGAATCTGAACTGTCTAGTTTGGCAGCACAACTCATTACTAAAGTATTTTGGCTACATTTTTCCAAGACATGTCTACTTGTTCTTTTGGCAGTCCATGGGATATTCAGCACTTTTTTCCAACACCACAGCTCAAAGGCATCAATTCTTCTGTCCATCTTTCATCAATTCTTCTGTCCAGCTTTCCGGTGCATCTCGTAGTTTATTCATTCCTATAAAGTGATATGTATACAGGCATACTTTGTTGCCTTTCGCTTTGTAGATTCTGCACTTGTTACAGATTGAAAGTTTGTGGCAACACTTCATCAGCATAATTCTTGCAGTATTTAAAATTTTTTCATAATGTTTTTGCCACTTAAATTGATTACAGTGTAACATAACTCTTATATGCACTGTTGTTGTGCCATCAAGTCATAGCAGACAGCTGAACCTTCAAGGAGTTTTTAGAAGCTGTCAGTCATGTTGAAGGATATTGCCAGTCTTTATCCCATGGAGCACTTGATAGGTTTGAATTGTGTGCCTTTGACTTGGCAGTGCAACCTCTTATCCATTAGGCCATTCACGTGGCTCACTTTATTGGATGGCCTGGAACTGAACCTGTCAATATCTTAAGGATCTGCCTTTGTGGTCCAGATAGTTGTCATTGTTACTTTGTGCTGTTAGGTCAGCTGTAACTCATAGCAATGGTTCTGAACCCTGCCCTGTCCTGTACCATCCTCATCATCTCTGACATGCTTGAGTCTACTGCAACCATCACTTTGTTAATCTATCTCATTGTGGATCTTCCTCCCTTAGGCTGACCTTTCTAAGCATGATGTCTTTATCCAAGGACTAGCCCTTCTAACAGCATGCTCCGTGAGATGGTGTTTCACCATCCTTGCCTCCAGGGAGCATCCTGATTTCTCTTTCTTTAGGACAGACCTGTTCACCTGTTTGTTCTGTTGGAAGGCCATGCAATACTCTTCTCTAACACTGCAACTCAAAGGCAGTGAGTCTTCTTCTGTCATCCTTAGTCATAGTTCCACTTTCCGATGCATAGCAAACATTTGAGGTGACAATTGCTTAGATCAGGTGCACCTTAGTTTTTAAACTGGTATTTGTACTCTTTAGTACTCTGGAATGATTTCTAACAGCAGATCTTCCAATTGCAATTAGTCTTTTGATTTCTTGACTGCTTGTACCAAGAGGTACCAAGAGTATTCATTGTGAATCCAAGTAAGATGAAGCCATCAGCAATTTCTGTCCTTTCTCCATCTATCGTGATGTTGCCTGTTGGCTCCATGGTGAGGATTTTTGTCTTGATGTTAAGATGTGATCCACATTGAAGGCTGAAGTCCTTGACCTTCTGCAGCAAACGTTTCAAGTACTCTCACTTTCATTGGGCAAGGTTGTGTCGTCTGCCTAGTGCAGGTTGTTGATAAGTCTTCCTCCATTCCTGATACCACATTCTTCTTTATAGAGTCCAGCTGCTTGCATGATTTTTCTCAACACACAGATTGAATAGGTATGGAGAAAGGATCAGTATTTGTTGACACCAGAGTGCACAGTGCTGATTTCAGGCATAGAAGAATAAATGAAACATGGTTCCTGTCTTCAAAAGACACTGAAAACTAATATCCTGCACACATCACCAAATTGTTGACTATTTTCTAGGTGACCAGAACGGTGATAATGGCCACAAAAAGGACACAAAGGAGCCAGGGGTAGCTAGTTTTTAGATCCAGGAAGCTAGGAGACATCCCTTTATAATGGTGCATGAACCCTAAATTACTGTTATGCCTTTGGCTGACAACAGGAGTATTCTAAGGAGTTTGTGGGGGTAAAAACGAGCAGGAGCCTGTCTTTAGGATAAGGATGGTGAAACTTTATCCCACAAACTTTGGGCATGTTGTCAAGAGGGGCCTGTCCTAAGGAAAAAATACCATTTTGGAAAGGTAGAAGGTCAGAGAAAGGGAGGAAGATCCTCAAGAGTATGGAATGACGCAGTGACTGACAGTGGGCATAAGTATGTCACAGAGTATTGCTGGTGTGGAGTAGGGCATGGTTGTGAGTTCATAGGGTTCCTTTGAGTTGTGGTTGACTTGGTTGGATTTAACAACCGCAGTGAATACAATTTGAAAAAAATAAGTTGCATTGATGGGTAAGCAGAACTTACACATGTAGGATTAGTACAGTATCCTTAAGATATAAATAGTGAAACCTAGCACATATGTTATTTCTCATTCTCTGGCATAGATAATTACAATTTCTATGTTTACTTTTTTTCACAGGCTGGAATATTTCAAGAATTTATGGTTCAGGAAGAGTCTGTAACATTTAGGATTAATTTATCTGTCCTTTTAGACTGCTTATCTATTTTTGGATCAAGTCCTGTGCCAGGTGAACCATTTTATTATTGTTACAATATAACATAAAAACATGCAGAATGGTCTTTGAAAAAATAATCACCCATTCATATTTGTTGTTGTTCACAATCATGGGTTCTGATTTTTCACAATATTAATAGCATGGGGTTTTATGGGTGAATTTTTTTTCCCCAAATTTATTATAGTAGTGCCTTTTTTAAATAACAAGAGTCAAGGTATCTTAAATTCCAACCTATCAAATGAAGACCTTGAACATGTTTGAACTGCCTTTAATTTGTGAAATGGGGCGGTGGTTTGGTTGTTTTGTTTTGTTTTTTGCTTGTTGTGTACCATTGAATCGGATCCGACGGGCGTAGGAGGAGACTGGCCCTCCTTCTCCAGCAGAGCATCTGGTGGATTCGAACCATGTAGCTTTGGAATTGCAGCGCAGCTGAAATAAGTTTTAACTGCTGCTTTTCTTGAATGTTTCCAGAAATACACAGCTACTTATAGGCAGCGGAAAAGAATTCTACTGACTCCTAGCTTACAATGTGCAAAGCTTGGTTGCTTTTTCTTTTTTTCCTTTAAG